AGTTCTCACTAAAGGTTTTACTCTCCCTTGGGCTTCTCCTGAATATAACAACTTGGAAGGCCTGCACCATTCTCAGTATTATTTGCTTCTGTGGCCTGACCGTTGACACAACTGACAGTTTCATGATACAGTGTATGGTAATCCAATTAATTTATTTCAGTAAATGAGGATATATGTGGTTCCAATTAAGAAATCTACTTTGCCTCTTGAGGCAATATTATCACAACAGAATCAAATAATGTCTTTGGCTTCCAATGTATCTACAAAAGACACACACATTACTTTGGCAAGGACTCTTAAGTAGTAGTATTTGTGGTTATTCTTTCTAAAATATTTTCTAAATTTTCGTGTTTTGTTAGCATACGTCTTTTCCTAACTTTTTTCTGGGAACAAGTGGAATTTGAAATTCTTAACTTTATTCTCACCTCACAGATAGGGTGGACCAAAGCTTTCGGTAATTGATACTATGTTTACACATTACATGTAAATATACATGGGAAATAATTTTAAGAAATTGTCAGATCAATACTCTATCTGTAGGGCCCTACCTGAAAAACTCAGCACACTCATCAGAACTCCCTTAGCCATTGCTTAATTAGTTTCCAACGTGCCTCAATATTATAATACTGTATTCATTAAAAAAACCCAAAACAATTAACCAAAAATACCGAAAAAAAAGCAAAGAAACTCCCACTTTTCCTCCCCCTTGCTACTTTTCTTTCAAAAAGAAATCCAAGAAAAAAGTCTTCCCATCTCTGTTCATGGAAACAAAGAAATCCAGAATGCTCATGTATATCTAACAAAACCCAACTGTCTTTTGAAGATAATCTTCTTCAAATGATACTAACTTCATAAAACCTGGCTGATAGTCATAACAAAGCATTTGGTAGGAAAATAATCAATAAAATACAAATCCAGTAAAACACACAATGCTTCATGATGCAATTCTGTACACACAGTACCACACAGCTCCCCTAACAGATGAAAAAAGGCTCAAAACAACTTGAGCAAAACAGGTCGCATATGGAATACAAGTAGCCTTTGACAGTCTGAGGTTTAGGTTTTGTTTAATCAAACTAAACATTGGAAAGATTATTCCACATGCTCGTGAAGTAAGTGAACTACGACGAGTTATTTTTTCAATTAAAGTACATATTGTAGTGGAACTGTCCATAGCATTACATACACTGAAATAGAACACCAAGATGACAACAAAAGAAAGAAACCCAAAATTGCAGCATAAGACCAAAACATCTAAGTAGAAAGGTCCCAAAATACTCTTCCTTTGGTTGCTATGCTAGCATCATTGTTTTCTAGTCTAAATATATTCAGGGAAATTCTGAAAGGGTTTCTTCTTATTTTGCTTCCTCAAGGTTATTTTCACAACAAGGAGAAATATTTATGCAGAAAGTAGATTACCAACACTGAAAAAAGGTGCAACACAGAGGAGTGATCGGTCATCCAAATAGCTAAAACTTTCGCTCAGGCTCCCATTCCCCTTTAACTTGATTACTGCCACACAAATCATATTTCACTGTCAAAGCCCTTCGCTTCCTGTCTTTACCACCACCTGCATCTCCCAATCACCACAGAAACGCTGACCTGACAATGTTAACTATACAGAGCCCATCTTCTACATTTTTAAAACAGTTTGGGGACTTCTCCTGCGTTTTTTTGCTCTTTGAGAGGTATTTCCTGAAAAATTCCATGAAGCTGCCCTGGTATCATCTTTCTTTAAAATCAGTTTTGGTTTTGTTTTTTTTTCACCGTAGTACTTCTTGAAAACTCAAGAGGAGGTGCTCTGAAAGGTAACATCATTGCCAGGACTGTTGACTAAGAATCAGCTCAGCCAATCCAATTGTGGGTTGTCACTGCCCTTGTGCCAACACTGGTTTTCAGATGATCCAATGGTAAGCAAATATAGGGTATTAAATAAATAAAATAAACATAAAAACCCCTGCCACAAAGAAACCCAAAACCTCCCATGTCTCTAATTAAGTGGAGGTTTTGATAACTCAAGTTACTTAACTAGCTCAGTCTGGATTCAAATTACCATTTAAAGAATCTGAATGTGTACAAGTCCATGGGACCTGGTGAGATACATTGGTGAGAAAGAAGGGAAATGAAAATAAAAATTGATTAAAGGAATTAACTATCATGTTATCATGTGTTGCACAGTTACATTATAGCATTAACTCAAGAGAACATAAAGCATTTCCAGAGATATGATACTTTAAAATATTTTGGAAAATATACCATGTGCTTCATCGGAAAGTTCTCTTAAACACACAGGTAAAAAAAACTGGGCACAGATGACACAAATTATCTCACCTTTCCCCTCCAGCCCCAAATTTTGCCATGGTATTCCCAGCTCAGAAGTGTTTAGAGGAGACTTTTCAAAAAGCAAGAAATTAGACTAGGTCTCTACGTCATACACTTTGAAGACAATTCTTGTATTTTTGGGAAGTGGGGGAGTGCATTGCCCTGATTTTGGCTGGGATAGAGTTAATTCTTAGAAGAATGGTACGATGCTGTGTTTTGACTTTCCTATGAGAATAATGTTGGTAATACACTGATATTTAGTTGTTGCTAAGCAGTGCTGACCCTAAGTCAAGGACCTTTCAGTTTCCCGTGGTCTGCCCAAGAGTAGGTGCACAAGAAGCTCAGAGAGAGTGTGACCAGGACAGCTGACCTGAACTGGCCACAAGGATATTCCATACCACAGAACATCAGTATATGAACTGGTGGGAGCTGGCCTGGAGGATGGGCTGGGCATCAGTCAGTGGCAGTGAGCAGCTGTATTGTGCATCCATTTGTTTCTCTCGGGCTTCATTCCTCTCTCTCCTTTTCATTACAATTATCATCATCATTAGCCTTAACAGCATTACTATTGTATTTTACTTTGGTTCAATTATTGAACTGTTCTTTCCTCAACCCACAAGTTTTACTTTCTTTTTCCCCCACCCCCACCCCCTCGACTCTCCTCCCCACCCCCCCGGGGAAGGCAGCATGGTACTTAGTTGCCTGATGGGGTTAAACCACGGCAGGTTGCAACTCATGTAAAGCTTCATTTATAAATTTGCAACTAATTAGTATGTACATTTTATAATCAATATTCACAAACATTTCCATCTGCCACAGCGAAAATAAAATTATCATTCATCAGTCATATAACATTTATATTCATGAGCATAAGTAAATATTTAGATTTCAGTGTGAGGGCTAGAGGCATCCACTCTGTAACCACATAGGCTGTCCCTCAGGTGCACTCAACTTACTTTTCTGAAGCATACAAAAGCAAACACACACTGTAGTTCTGTTAACGCGTGTATTTTATATACTACAGCAATACACCATATCAGCAGACAACACTGCAAAATTAAAAAATAGCAGAATACCTAACCCTCTGTGCTTTCCTTAAGCCAAGCCTTTAATTTAAAATATTCTCATCTACAAAAGGCAAAAATAGCCCAAATGACAAGAAAGTCCAGGAAGCAAAATTCCACAACTAGGAAGAGACTATTTGCATAAGTATTTATAGATACTGAAAACTAACTGCTTTTAACTTTCTTTTTAGCTTTAACAAAGCTGATAGAAAAAGAACATTAGCCACAAACTTATGGTCATGTGCTGCTAAGAAAAAAAAGTATCTAACTGAAAAACCCATAGGATTCTAGGTCACTTTTGAGATGTTCAATTTAAAAACAATAAATATTTTAACAAAAAATGCATGGTTTTCAATTTGATTGGGTCTTACATAGACAGCAATTATGACACCTACAGTGATGATGAAACAGCAAGTCTGAGGACGGCAAGGAATTGTTAGATTACACATGCATCCACTATGTTTTATAGGTCTTTACTTTCGATATTGAGAAAGTAAATGCAAGATGAAATGTGTCATTTGTGAACTCCCCAGGTAGAGATTCATCTTACAAGGAACAGGAGAAAAGCCACTGCTGGAACAAGAGATTCACGTGTTGCACTAGCACTGGACGGGCACAGGAACCATGCTCAAGGACCACAGGGTCAACCTGCCAACACTGTCCGGCCCAAGTTGCTTCTTTGTCATGCCACCACCAGCAACCACCACGCCCGACCAATAACTCGTTTTTATAAATGTTGGCAAGGGCAAAAAAGTTCGCAGATCACATAAAACCTCGTCCAAAGGTATTCACAGTCGATATACCGAGGAGGAATAAAAATTAATTTAAAAATAACCTCAGTGACAAGGCCTTGGCCAGGCCCGCTCTCCCACAGGTGGGCACTGACCCCTCTCGGCCCTTTGCCCCCCGTGTCCCCGCGCGGCCCCGACGGGCGCACCATGCGCTGTGACCGGTGCGCGCAGCACCGAAGGCAGCGCCGGCTCGTCCAGAGGCGCGCGCCCGCCGCCATCCGAGGCGCTCCTGCCCCGCCGAAGCGCCGGGGGAGGTGGGCGGGGAGGGAGGGGAATCAAAGGGAGGCGCCCCGGCCCCCGCTGCCCCCCGAGGCCGCAGAGAGAGCGGCAGGGGCAGCAAAGGCAGAGAAGGGGCGGGCAGGAAAGGGCGGACCCTCATCCGGGCTCGCTCCCTGACGCGCTCACTCACCGATCATGGCGGCGGGGGTGGAGAAGGGGGGCGCGTACACGCGCGCGCACGTGCCGGCCGCGCCCTCCCGCTCGAGCGCTTCCCCGGCAGCCGACCGGTGGAGTCGCGAGACTGCGGGCGGGGCGTGACGGCGCGGAATGCGCATGCGCCTCCGTGAAGCGCGCGCGGGGCCCCCTGGGTAACGTAGTTCGCCACTTCACACCGGCCCCTACTCTGCCCACGTGATCACCTCTCCCCCCCCCGCCCCTCCAGCCCTCACTTTCGCTAATGACTTTCTTGCTAATTGCCGTCTGTCGCCTCGGTCTTCGGCGCACTGAGGGCGGGCACAGCCGGGCGGGGCAGCTGGGTCTCTCTGCGGCTCCCTTCGCGCTTCCCAGGCGGGTTGTTGACGCGTTGCCTGGCAACGGTCGCGTGTCCGGGGGACCGCCCGCGGCGGCCGGTGCCCAACGAACCCCGTGAGGGAGGGACCGCAGGGCCGCAGCCGGCGGGGGCACAGCGGCGGGCGGGGGGGAGAAGCCCCCGGGGGACAAGGACAGCAGGTGGTGATGAAGGGCTGGACACGGTGGAGTAGGGGGGGACGAGCTGGGATGATGCAGAAGGGGTCCTGGAGGGGGGAAGGAAGGCGCGGGAGGGGTGTGGGGGTGTGTCGCTGATCTTGAAGAGAGCGGAGATAGAGCTGCTGCCGTCTTCTAACTGGCTGGGTACGGGGCGCTGATGTTCGCTTGTTTTTTCCAGTCCGTATTTCTCCTCTGGTCCGTCGCGGGCGCCGGTGGGGAGATGGTAGTGGACAAGGCGGGCTCGGGCCCCTCGAAGCCCGCAGATGACAGGTGCCCCCGGCAGCGGGAGAAGAAGAACAAGCAGCAGGCCTGCGACGGATTCACTATTAGAGCCATGATGAAAAACAGCGTGGTACGTTTGCTGCTAGCATAGAGGTGACATTAATTAGCTTACCTTAACGTGTCCAAGAAGCATAGCCAGTTAGAGCTGAAGAAAAAGCATGTCATGAAGGTGTGCAAGTTATAGTAATACCTTCTCTGGGTTATGCTGGTTGCTGAAATTACCTTCAGAATTTACAGAAGTATTATCAGAAGATAACTCTGTGCCTGTGGTAATTGTGATGCCTCGACTACCAAGTGCATTGCTTTGGTGCCATCCTATTAAACTGCTAGCCTATGGGCTTGTGTGCGAGGCTCACTGCCTTGCATTTAGCAATATGCTGTGAAGTGGTACTGCAGTAATACTCGAAAGTGTTTCCATACACTGGTACAATGTGTTAAAAATTTGATGTCAATCTTACATAGGATGGCAAAGATCTGGAAAATACACTAGTTTTTAAAATAGGCTTGAAAAATAATAAAAAACTTCCACACCGTCTAGGACAATACTAAACTGGAAACAAACATTAGTTCTCCAACTCGTAGTTCAAAGACAAAGAGGAGTTGATCCAGTGAACTTTATTTTAAGATAACAGTCACAATTTCTAACAAATTTAGAGGTTTATGAGTTAAAATATTAGTATAAAATTGCTTTATATTGTTTTATTTGCCTACCTTTGTCAGAATTTAGGAATAAAAAAAACTCTTGAATTGTATTTTTCTTTATTTGGACACTGTTCAAGGTGTTAGCAAAGTCTTGAGTTCTCAAGGGGTTTTTTGGAATCTATATACTATTCCAACAGAAATTAAGAAATACATTATTTCCCTTTTCCTGAAGTGGTCTTCTTGGAGCAGTCTCTCTGGTCTTGTTATCTGTAAGAGCATTCTCTTAAAAACCCAAACAAGTCCATCTTTAAACAAATTTTAAGTAGAGCAAAAATTGTGCACTTAAAGAACTTTCTTCTCATTAGTAAGACTAAAATATGTTTCACCTTAGTTGGAAAAACACAAGGCAAACACAACAACAAAACTCCTTTGTTTTAAAGATTGTTTGGTTTGTTTTTTATTCTAGAGATCAATGGAATAGACTATAATACTTCAGCAACTTTAAGGATTAATTTTTAAAAGATGTTTCCTCTTCTCTGAACAAAATTCAAGTAATGGATATTTGCACATATTTGTTTTCACCTTGATATGTAAAAGACACTTAATTTTGTCTAGAAGAATCAGCAGTTTCAATGGAGTTGGAGAAATATATATTTAATTTTTTAAAAGGATCTGTGACTTGTGAACATAACTAGCTATGAGTTTAATCAGAATGTAGGTTTCCTTTTAAATATTTATAGAGTATTAACTTTTATGGCTGCATTTCTGACTTCCTAAACATGAGCAGAAGGTTAATTCACGGGTAAAGTGGCTGCCTTTGGAGCTACTTGTTGAATCACAGAAGTTACTTTCTTTGGCAAGGACCTCTGTAGATCATCTAACCCAACTTCCCATTTGAAGTAGGCCTGTCACTAGCACTAGATCAGATCAGTCATGGGTTTTCCTCACTAAGCTGTGAAACCTGCCAACTTCAGTAATTCCCTGACCTCTCCGGGCCATCTCTGCCTTGCCCATCTGCCCCCCTGCCTGCCCCCTTGGCCTTGTCAGAGGTCAAGTTTGCAGTGTTCTGACCTGCTGCTCAGGCTCTACTCATAACTGGGTAGGAAGCAGTGAAACTGTTAGCCCTGACACTACAGATCTCCCAGGACCACTATGTTTTGCAAAAGCTCCAGGTGAGGATAGGCAGACACTAGAATCATTTCCAGTCAATGTGCAAAAAAAAATCAGTGTAGAGTAAGGAATATCTATCTCGCTGCCTCTCTGTCTGCGCAAAAGTCTGTGTCCCTCTTCTCTTTTCCAACAACTGGTTAAATGGAGCTTCAGATTTATTAAGTGCTCACATGTCAGAGGTTGACATCATTGATGAAGTTCTCATTGAAAGGATTAGGAGTTGACTGGAAGGTTGAAAGCACAGCAGGAAAATATAGTTAGGACATGGTAATTCTTTTTGTTAGCAGCATGACAAGGCATAGGGTTGTAAGCGAACGTGTTTGGCATCTCCAGGTCAAACAACAAGGTACTAATGAATAGCTTTTGGTGCAAGCGTGCAGTTAGTCTTAAACTCTTAGTGTGGAGTCTTAACAGATTACCATTACACATCTATGACTGTAAATGTTGTAGTAAAGGTTCCAGAATTCTATGATGTTGCTTTTGCAGTGTTTTATTAAACTGTTTTTCATGAAAGTTCCTGCTTTCACAGCCAGTAGTAAGTGCAGAAATTAAGTACTTCCAATACTGAAGACTTGTCTCAGGTCTCACTAAATCTAAAATTTCCTTATTGAAATACAGTACTTAATAAATATTCACCAAAAATATTCCTGAAGAAAGTCTTTCAGTTTAAGTTATTCCAAAACTGTAAATTTATATAGTGGTTGAGGTTAAGAGCAAGATTCAATAAAGGTCCTCTACAGTAACAAGATTCAGTAAAGGTCTTCTACTAACAAGCTAGGTATTGTGACATTTACATTTTAATTATTATGTCCTCCAAGTAGAATCAAGAATGCCAAGTTATGTACTGATAGCTCAAAGGTACTGCATGTAGAATTAGGAATAAAATTAAAAATTAATATATAGACTGGCAAGTAGAAAAATGTCTGAACGTGAATGTAGGCTGCAGGGAGATATTTCTCTTCCCTTCTGATCCTCTCCAGATTATATTTTTCCTATTTTTTGCAACTGTACATAAGAGAATAAAGTGTTAGTGTCCCCATTTTCTGTAATGCACTAGTGATAAAAGCACTTTTTCAAGGATAGGATTCATTCTATTACTCAAAGAAAACTGTGGAAAGGGAATTCTAGTCTATCTGCCACTTTTTAACAGATTCTTAACCAAGAATTTATAAAATTACTGGGATGGAAAAATCTACACAGAGGGAAAAATCTGCATGTCTTTTCAAAGTGCTGTTACCATGCAGCAGAGAGTTAGGATTCATAGGGCTAGAAAGTGGCAAGGTAGGAAACTCACTAGGCAATATATTTTAGTGCATATGTAATTCATGCAGGAGTTTTGAAAACTTTGTTCTTTGGAATTTTATGTCCATCATTGCTTGCTAGAATGGACCTGATGATATGGAGTGGAATTAGAACTTAAGTCATCCCTCCTGAGTTCTGAGCCCATAGCCCATAAAGCTATGAAAGATTGTTCTTTCTTTTTCTCTTTCTTTTTTTTTCTTTGTTTTCTGTTTTACCTGAACCTTGATTTCCTTACTGCAAAACAGCAGAACTTCAGCACGAAAGATGGAGTTTATCTTTCCTCTACAGGTCCTCTGTTAATAACACTTTTACCATGTAAGTTGAAGTATCGTTCTGTAGCATGTGAATTTGAACTCCTCTGGCCAGAGTACTGAGTTTGGATTTTCTACCCATCTTAGAGTATAAACCAGCAGATTTTATATAAAAAATATTACTATTACATTCATCTGTATTCCATGAAATCAGTCAGAAACTGCCACTAGGAATAGGCCACAGGGATAGAGCGAAATTGTCTACTAGATGGCCCTAGAAAGGAAGTAATGGTAAGAATTACTGTATTTCTGTAATGCTAAGAATTACTGTATTTCTAAAACCAAAGCAATTGTTCAACCTATGAGAGTCTTAGCTATGTGCCAGAGCCCAACTTTCATCTCCTGAAAGAAGTATAACTGCTCATAAGCAGAAAAATGGTTATTTGGATTGCGCTTCTGGATTTTCATTCTTCTGTTCCTCATTTAGGAGGCTATGGTCTGTATGTATTGGGATTAGTTCTTAGTCTTTGTTGTTTAAACTCCTCTTTCAAGCCATGATCAGTAATGTGTGTTGTGAAGGGCTTTTTTACACTGTACCATTTGATAATAACTCATAGCAAGAGTTTAATTTTAACCATAGAGAAAATGTGATTTGTTTACATTCCGAAACTTTTAATTTGACATTCTATTTATAGTCATCCACATGTGTAACTGAAGCTGCTTTTATTATTTACCTTGTAGCAGTAAAAGTTTCTAATCTGATTTTGAGGCTATAGGAAAGAATTGTTTACAAGAAAGAAGTATCTTTCAATTATAATAGCTAATTTATTGGAAAAGGTAGTGTGTTTTGGCATAAATGGGTGTCAAGTTAAAGGAATGTTTTGATAAATCCTTATCAAGAATTTAGCACTTCCGTCTTGGAGGAACTGCTCCAGTTTAACAATAGCAATTGCATACAATCTACAAGTATACTTCAGTGAACACTATGAGACAATTTAGACTGTCACTGCTCTGGAAAGCAGTTCTATCTTCTTCCTCTTTCAGTCTGTTTAGTACTGCTACCCCTTATTGTGTCCACATTTGTACAGTGTTGGCCGATCAGGGACTTGATCCTGCTGAAAAATACTCCAACCTGTTGAAGCTAACAGCATTGAACTGCAGTCTTTGGGATTTAGGCAAGCAAAGCTTCTGCTTCCACAAACCTCATCTGTTTTGCCCTTCTCCCTCTCCTGACTGCATTCTTCCATCTCCCCTTTTCCACTGGCATTGCTTTTTCTTCAAATGCAGAGAAGGTTGGCTCAATTCTAACAGCTCTTAAGTTAAAATACGCAAGGAGAAGGGAAGCAGGAAGATGTTAGTCCAAGTTGTGTGGGTGGGAATGTACCTTGGCAACATCATGGTCTTAATTCATTTAAAACCAATTATAAAATTGAGTTCTAGCAGAGTAATTCCACAAGCATTTAAAGCAGCATAAAATTGTACCACAATTGAAAGGTGTGGTCTTTGTCCCTGGGCATTTATTCTTTGTGCAGTATGAGCTTTTGCATGGCCTTGCAGTGAATTAGAGTGGGGCCCTGGTTAAACCTAGATTAAAAGCAGCTCAGCACCTTTTTTTTTCCATCGCAGTGCAACCTTGACACAGGGTTTGGTAACAGTGTAAGCTCACAAAAGTTGTTGCTGCTACAGCCCTGCCTGCTTCTGCTTC